GAAATTGAGAACTCTATTCTCTGCCCTGGTCTTGACTTGACTGTTCCAACCCAGGAAGGTTCAAAAAGTGATGTGAAAATGCATATGGTGCCAAAGATTCCTTCTACTTTTACAGAACACAGTCAGCCACTATTGCAGGATGAATTTATGCGTGCTATTGGGTGTCACATTTTACTGGATGAAACTTCTCCAGTTCCCTGCAGTGAATGTAAAACAAAATTTCAATATGAGATGAAGCTGTTAAGCAGAAAGCAAAACCTCACAAACACTCCTGCAAAACTGAAAGCACCATTGTCAGCAACAAATCCACAGCGCATAATATTAGCACTACAGGAAAACCGTTTGCAATGTAAGCAGCTGCAAGTTAAATTACAAGAAATGAAAAATGAAAATGAAAAGTCAGCAAAACCTATCAGCCAAGAGCTTGGTGCTGACTTAAAATCACTGTTCAGTACTTGTGATCAGAGGAAAATTCCTCCTTTCATGAAATTGTTCTGGGAAGAACAGCAAAAATACCTTCAGCAACCATTAGCTCAGGTGCGATATCATCCAATGGTTATCAAGTTTTGCCTGGCATTGGCTGCAAAGTCCACTTCAATGTACCGTGAGATTCGTCTAAATGAAAAAGAAGGGACAGGTATTTTGGTTCTGCCAAGTCTTCGCACTTTACGTGATTATCGTAATCATATCAGACCAACAAGAGGATTCAATGCTCAAATAGTTGCTGATTTACAAAAGAAAACAGCAGGTTTCAGTCCTGTAGAAAGATATATTGTAATCAGTTTTGATGAAATGAAGATTCATGATGGTATGGGATAAAAATACAGGTGAATTGATTGGCTTTGTGGACCTTGGTGATACTTAAGTGAACTATGGAACACTAGCTAAGGCTCAAGAACTTGCTAGTCATGTCCTTGTGTTTCTTGTCAAATCGATAGTGAATCCTCTGTCATACAGTTTTGCTACCTTTGCTACCAATGGTGCAAGTGCTTTTCAGCTCTTTCCTTTATTTTGGCGAGCTGTGGCCATCTTAGAAGGCACTTGTTCCCTTCAAGTTGTTGCAACTGTGTCAGATGGTGCCTCATCAAATAGAGCATTTTTCAGGATGCATAGAGGGATGGATGGTGAAGCTGGAAAAGGAGTTGTGTATCGGTCTGTGAACATTTTCTCCCCAGACAGATTTGTCTACTTTTTTTCAGATGCACCACACCTCATGAAAACAGCCAGAAATAATCTTGCAAAGTCAAATTGCGCTAATGCTTCCAGGCTATTGTGGAACAATGGTTGTTATTTGCTGTGGAGTCACATACATGAAATTTACCAAGAAGACCTCGAGTGTGGATTGAAGCTACTACCAAAGCTCAGCAATGATCATGTAAGTCTTACTCCGTACTCAGCAATGCGCGTTCATCTTGCTGTACAAGTTTTAAGTTCAAGCATGGCTAAGGTTTTGCATGAATATGGGGCAAAAGAAGCAAAAGGAACATCTGATTTTTGTGAGAAAATGGATATGTTTTTCGATTGTATGAATGTGAGAAATACAGTAGAGTACAAGCATAAGCAGAAGCCATTCCTGGCACCATTTGAATCACTGCAAGACCCAAGGTTTGTTTGGTTGAAAGATGAGTTCCTTAAGTATTTTCAGAACTGGCAACAATCAATAGAAGAAAGAGAAAGTGACTTCACAAAAGCGAACAAGCAAGCTATGTTTTTATCAGGCCAAACCTATGAAGGTCTTCAGATCACCACATATTCAATAATTGAGGTTGTCAAGTATCTTTTGGAGGCTGGTGTGGAATATGTGTTGACAGAACGTTTTTGTCAAGATGATCTAGAAAATTATTTTGGTAAACAACGAGCTATAGGTTGCAGAAGAGATAATCCAAACCTTCACAGTGTTGGATACAATGATAATATTATCAAATCTCAGTTCAGTGTTGTTCCAATATCCGGAAATGTTAGATCCAAAGGAGACAAGTGGAATATAATTTCAGAAGAGCCATTGACAAAGCGTAAAAAGTGTGCAAAAAGTGACTTATAGATCATAAAGCAAGTTGGTGTTGTGGATGTTCTGTTTTGTTATTTTCATTTTTATAGTAGTAAATACAAGTTAAGAGCAAGCATACAGCATGATAACATCAAACAACTAATGCAAATGTTAAATTATGTACCAATAAGTTATAAAACGTTTTACAAATAACATTTTACAGATATGCTAAAAGACATCTTCCCAAACGATTCATGTTATTCAAAAGACAAGGATGTTAAATTAGCCATTGATGTAAGACTGCCCTTATCCTCTTGGCTCATTGAAAAATAAAATTTCATCACACAGATCAAGGGGTGGAATCTGGAATAATAATATTTTTTCTTCGACCAGAATCAGGAACATTAATTAGAATTTGAAAAACCTGTATGCATGTCTTGAAGAGGCAAAAATGATTAAGGGAATATAAGATTTTATAATATTAATATGTCTATGCTCAAGTCATGAACATCCTCCTAGCCCTTCATAAATTCAGAGGGATGTTATAAAACTTTTAACATCCGGGGTTAGCTTGCAAGCCAACATATTTACCAATAATTATTGATCAGGTTATCAAAAAACTTTATCAAAATAATAATTAACCAGGTTATCAAAAACTATTATACAGTAAGTACCAGCATACAAGAAACCACTTTTTAAACTGAGGCCTCAGGAAGTTTCATGTTAAGAGAGACTTTTCATATCTTAGTTTCTTATCAATAAGTACTGTCAAGTCAAATTAAGTCAATATGACAGTACTGTCCATGTATGTTTATTCAGTATTACTGGTAGTGGTTTATAATATAAAATCTCCAGTATATTTTTTCATATCAATAGAATACACAGAATATTATCATCCTACAGCGTAAACAGAAGAAACTACTTGAAAAAAGAAACATTTTAATTTCAGGCCTAAAATTGTCTCTTATCAAATGAGCCTCCTTTTGAAGAAAATGAGGCCTGTTTCTTATAAAAGGGGGTTTCCTATATGCAGGTACTTGCTGTACAATAAAACTCAGTGTCCTAAATCTTTACTTAAACTTGCTTGTTTTATCTCAGTTCTTAAAGGGCGTTTTTTTGTTGATATCTTTCTTTCTTTATGTTTTTCCTTTATTTCCTTTGCTAAGGAGTGTGAACGAACCCGTATGAAGAGATGAATAACATGTTCAAAGAGATTCTTTGCAACTTCTTTGTCCACACTGAGCTCTGAACTTGATGCAAGAAAAGCAAGATTTGATTTCACCAGTGGGTCCATCATAATGGCTTCAACAATTTGTTTGGCATTGATGCTTTTCTTGCATATATTTTGTCTAGAAGAAGAGCGGCAAAAGATGACCTCTGCTTTTTTCAACACCTGAATGGCTTTTTGATTAACTTTCCATAGCCCTCCTCTGTTTTTTATGTCAACCAGTGTCTAAGGAGTGTCAGTTTTAATAGCCCTCAAAATGCTAAGATATTGTTGGCTTAAATCGGATTCCCAGTGCTTGCTATTTCTTATCTTAAGATAGATTTTCTTGAAACAGTATCCAGCCACATACTCCAATGCATCAATTTCTCTCTTTGTGAATGCTTTGCCTTCATTCAATTGATGAGTTTCTTGAATGTCTTTGTCAACTGCAAATCCACACAGTTTTGCAAGACAAAAAATTATCAACTCTGTTAGCAAGATATTCGTCTCTTGCAGATCCAAAGGACTCAATAAAGCAATACTTCCTTGTGTTTATTTTTACAATGGCGTGCTAAACCACGTTTGGTCTTATATTTTCTGGTACACTGATTGCATTGTATAATTGGCTGTTCATCCGTTACCTGAGAAGCAATC